ATGGTTTATTTCGTTGATCCACACCCCATCTTCAAGCAAACCGCGACAGCCACGCGTCGACCTTGCCCTCGAGCGTTGCGACACTCCCAGATGCGGGGTCCAGGAGCGCCGACGCGGCGACAATCGATTCGATCGACGCCGTTGGTGCCATGGACGCGTCGTACATGGCGCGCACGCGGTCCGTCGAATATACCTGGGTCAGATCCCGCAGCACCACGCTGGCCTCGCTCAGCAGCGCGTTCCCCTCGTCCAAGAGGTGACCGCCCTCAACCTCGTTGCTCCTTTCAGGCGTCAGCGACAGAATCAGGAGCTGGGCCCTACCAAACACACCATCACGGTCAGCGTTTTCGATCCAGAGAAGCAACGCTCATTGCTATCAACGCACCGAAGACGGCCAACAAGCTGCCCGACGCGCAAGCCGATCGCGGATCCAGCCGCGAACCCGTCGTTGAAACCGGCCTGCATCGTCTGGTCCTTGCCCTCAATCACGCCCTCGCGGTATCCGGCCTAGAGCGCCATTTCGTGAGCTTGATGCATGTGGATTGCGCACGATTGCAGCGCCGGGTACTTTTTTGTGATCCTCTTGCAAGCGCTGCCATTCGCGCTCGCTGACCTGCCGCTGCCAGTCGTCGTCGTTTACGTCCGAGGCCCAGTCGCTGTCCATGTCTTCGCGCTATGTTCGTGCAGCCAGAATGATCAGGAGAGAGATGCTGCAGGCCGTTCGCTTTGGTCAAGCTGCTTGACGTCGGACAAGTTCAAAGCTGACTGAGCCAGCCAGTTGCGGTGGAGCGTGGCCAGCCCTTGTAATGTCTTTGGCAGTTCAGTCACGCGCTGCGGTGGAGGAAGTGGCACAATTGATCAGCTGCAAAATCGACCAATTCCAGTCCAATCCAGTTCACCTCCGTCGACCCCTTGCCCGACCCCGCTCCAACGCCCCTGGCCCACCGACGACGCGCACGACTTGCAGCATTGACGCCGGAAATGACCATGATGCCACGAAAAATGTCCCGCCGCCGGCGTGCCCGACGCACGCTGGCGTTGGGAGAGCGCGACCATGCCCGCCATGCTACCTCGAGCACCGACCCCACCAAGTTGATGATCTGCCACCATGGACATTGCCGTCCTGCCCGCCCTCGCCGCGGACCCCTGCAGCGAAGCCCCCACGGCCAAGACGAGCCCGCCCAGCCTGCCGTTCCCGTTCCCAGCGGACCCGACACCCGCGGCCGAACTCGACCCGGCGCAGCTCGACTCTCTCCTCGACCGGCTCCGCACGATCCTCAATGACGAGACCGCCGAAGATTTACCTGGCGGGTGGACGCCGCTGATGCGCGCATTAGCCGCATCCCCCACCCCACCGCCGGCACCCGTGACCGCTTTGCTCGTCGCGCACATCACGTCAGCCCCCGCCGACTCGCTCCTGTCGTCGCGCACCGAGTACGGCGCGACCGTCCTGCACGCCGCGGCGTACTACGGGCACATCGACGTCGTCCGCGCCGTCCTCACCGCGACCTGCACCTTGCCCGCCGCGCAAACCGCATCGCTCGTCCGTGCCTCGGCATGGATGCCGTCGCCGCTGATGCTCGCGAGCGCGCGCGGCGATGTTGACATGGTGCAGGCCTTGCTTGATTTCCCGGGGGCGCACGTGAACGAACAGTTCCCATTGACCGGTTGGACCGCGCTCGGGTTCTGTTGCTGTGCGACCGCGGGGCATCCGGTCGCGACGGCCGCGCTGCTCTTGGCGAATGGCGCGGATCCGGCGATTCCTGCATGGAGTGCGCGGGCGATGGCGGATGTCGGGGAATGGGATCCGCGGTTGCTCGTCCCGGCGGCGAGTCCGAGTCCCGTGAGCTCGGCCGCGCTCGGGGAAAGCGACAAGTTGTGGTCCGGGCTGACCGAATCGGGCCCCACATCGTCGAGTACCGGCGGAAGTAAGCGCGACGCGTCCGTGTCGGCCTTGACGATCGAGTGGCTCGCGTCGACGCTGACCTCGCTCGACTTGTCCCCTCGCGTGCCCGCCTCGCCCGTTCCACCATCGCCGTCGACCAAACTCGCAGCCTCTTCACCAGCGCCGGCGCCGTTCGGCACGACTTCCGCCGTCCCCGTCCTCGCCCTCGTCCAAGCGGCGCACTTTCCCGCGCGGCACCCCTTCTGGTCGGCCGTGGCGCGACAAGATCCCGTGGACCTGGAAGTCGTGCTCACGACGTCTGCCGACGCAGCCGCATGGAGTCTGAACGCGACGACGCGGTCGTCGCTCGACTCGTCGGGGAGCACCGCGGCCCTGGCCGGATCCTGGCGATTGCGCACGATGCCGTGGGTCATCGGGTCCACAACCACCACCACCACCACCACCACCACCACCACCACCACGGCAACAACCGGCCGCCGCGCGACCGTGGATCTCGGACACGCTCGCGCCGCGACGTTACCAGCGGTGCAAGCTCCCGCGCCCGCGGAGCCGGCGGCGGCCGCGGTAGTGGTCCCACCCACCAACACGACGTCGCGCATGTCGCGGTCGCCGACGTGGCGGTCGAAACTGTCCTTGTCGGCCACGTTCCCGTCGCTGAGGCGCAGTAATACGGCGACGAGTCCCGCGTCCGGGTCCGGGTCCGGGTCGGTCGTGTCGCCGAGCTCGTCGTCGCCCGCGAGCAGTAGCAAGGGGGCCGCGGGGGTGCCGTCGGCCATGTCGTTGGGCAGTTCGCCGCTGGATGCTTTGGACGCGTCGAATCGCGCGTTGTTGGCCAAGTTTGGGTTGGGGAGCGCGCCGTGATGGAGGGCAGAGACCTGGACTGAGACTGAGACTGAGACTGACGGATGGGACCAGATGCGGCTTTGGATTCAAAACATGGATCTCTTTATCAACAACAGAATCGGCAGCGGCCTCGGACGGCACGAAGGCGCGTCGTGCGCCCTCGACCTCGCCGGCGCGCGGAACAGTATGGCACGCGGGTCTACAGCTTGGACGTCGCGCGCGTCTGCTCATACATGCGCAGCGACTGCATCGTCTTCTCGACGCCGCCGGCCTACACGTTCAAAACGCGCGCGCGTGAGCCCACGGTCCCTCCCTCCCTCTCCAGCAGTGCTCCCCGTCCCGTACCTTTCGAAACACGTCCTCGAGCGCCATCGCGACCGTCAAATCACCCGCGACGCGCACGCGGCCCGTCGTGATGGCCTTGTACGAGTTCAACCCGCCCGAAAAGAAATTGAACAAGTCGCGCTGATCAATTTCAATCATGACGACCGGCAATTTCTCTTTACGTTCGTGCCCGACCGACGGCATTGCCGTGGAGACGAGCGGCGGCGAGGTCTGACCGCGGCACAGCAGGTACCACTCGCCCTTGCGCAGGCCGCGGCGCGTGACGCGAATGCAGAAGAGCGCGCGCAAAGAGCCGACAAGGCGCGGGTTGGCTTGCAGTTCCCGGTCGAGTTCTGTGAAGAGCGTCGTCGCGAGAGACAAGTCGCCGGCGTTGCCAGAGGCGGTCGTGGATGCTGAGGTGGAGCGATTCGGTGCCATTGCGGGGACTTGGGCCGGTAGGGATGGATGGGACGCGTCGATTATCGTCGAGGGCGCGCGCTTTGGAGAGAGACTGGGAGGGCATCGTGGATTGACCATGTGCAACCCATCTCCGTGTGAAATCAACACAAGAATCGCCGCTGGCGACTGGCCGACGCTGCGCGCAGCACATCACGGCAGCGTGGCCATCATCACAACGAAACAACATCTCTTGTGGAAGAATAAAAAAATGTACAAAGCACGGCCACCGCCGTTCGTCGTCCCCTGGTTCGCTCATCGCGGGACGCTGCCCGCACGCACACAACGACACCATTCCTTCACTCAATCGGCCTCTTGGAATCGCTCACCGCGGGCGCCGGCGCGCCGTCCGGCGGTGCCATGTAGGACGGCGGCAGCTCATCAGCACCCGGTGCGGGCGGTTGCGCCGCCGGCGCCGTGTGTGCTCCCGAGGATGGAGGGTGCGAGTAGAGCGGCAACGGCTCGTCGGCGGGCACGCGGTGCGGTGCAGTCAAGACCACGTCTGGCCGGTCGCGCTGCAAGATGGCCGAGAACACGGCGTACATTTCCGACGCGCCGCCCTCTGGAATGGAAAATCGCGAAACGTGGCGTTAGCCGTCGGGTTCGAAAAATAACGGTACGTGTTCGTTGCGCGTGGGCGCGATCATGGCGTTGGTGTCGTGAAGTTGAACGCAACGTACGGTCAAAGTAGAACTTGGCCGTGCCCGGGATGTGCAGGCCGCCGTTGGGGACCTGTGGAGCAGGGGAGCGGGACCGCGTCAGTCGTGCTTCCACCGCATCAGCGAGCCCGCGCACGCGATACGTACCGGCTCCACGACCATCTCCACAAACTTGGTCCCGAACCAAGGGTCATGCAGCCGTGTATCGTGCAGCGACCGCAGCGGCACGCTCAGCGACTGGAACGACGAGCACGCTTGCGGTGCCGGCGCCGTGGTGCCCGACGAAGATGATGCGGCGCCCTCGACACTGCGTGCCGCGTTGACGGCCGCGTCCAGGAACGTGGCCGCGCAATAGACGAGTCGGTGCGACGTGACAAACAGTTTGCCGCGCTTGACGAGAATCGATGTGCCGCCGGCGCCAGGGTACCCGTTGCCCGACTCAAACTCGATCCGCACGGGCTCGTAGGACGAGAAGATCTTTTCGTCGGGCAGCGGCAAGGGGCCGGCACCGTCGGGCGCGAGCACGGTCCAGTTGAGCGCCATTTTGAAGTAGTTGAGGCGGGACGCGACGGGGTCGCGATTGCAGGGAACGGGGCGGACGGGCGGGGCGCGCTAAGTGGGTGGAAGGACGAAAGACGCGTGGATTGACGCGTGCAGTTGCAGTAAGTTGGCTTGTTCAAACGTGTGGGGGAGCGTTGACGACGACGACAAGATCTTGGCGATGCAGTTGCAGGAGGTTGTTGGGTGGTTGAGCTGGCGCAGTTGCAGCAGTATAAATACAATGAGGAACCTTTTCCATCACGTGAGGAGGTGGTCCCATAGTGTAGTGGTTAGCACTCTGGACTTTGAATCCAGCAACCTGAGTTCGAATCTCAGTGGGACCGAAATCCATAGCTTTGATGCCAATGGTGTTTGCAAATCGCTTTGATTTGATGGCCAGTTTCATTTTTTCCACACCGATCTCTTGGCCGCCTGCCACAGCGAACAAAACCAACCGACGACCTTGCTTGCGCTCATGTGCACTGGTGTCCTGGTGTGCTGCGATTTGGTCTGTTCCTAATTCTCTGTCTGGGGGTTCCTGGTGAGAAAAACATAATCAAGGCAATCAATCAATCCATTTCTCTCAAGCACCCCCCAGGCACGCATTGGCTCCTGCTCTCCGCTCAATACATGCGCACGGCAGAATCCAAGCGCGAGCGTGCATGGCCAACGTAAGCAACAGCCACAGTGGTGACTAGTGATGCTGCACGGTGCGTTTCGGCGGGACGAGTGGATGCAGTTGCGCCATGTATGGTACGGCCCACCTAGACGCGAAAGAGAGCAGCAGATCAGGGACTCGGCCAGGAAGCAGCACACGCAGGCGCGCAGCCGACGCGGTGCACACATCGGCCACGGATCGCGCGAGAGAAACGCACATGAGGTAGATGCAGCACACAGTCAGGACCAGCGACGTGACGATGAGACTACCCGAGCAAAATTTGACGCGTCAGTCATTCGTGATTGGCCAAATGCGGACGTAGCAACGACGGGAATACGCACTTGCGGTCGGGCGACTTGGGCCACAGCTTGACAATGACCAAGCTCACGCCAATCACGGCAAAGAGCAGGCCGAGAACAAGACCGGCGCCGGACATGGCGGCGTGGTGGAGAAGGCGGGACGGGGCGTTGGGTCGAGCGACTGTCGGCGACGTGGTAGCGTCGAGCTGTGCGTGCGTGAATGTGCGCGCGGATTGGGGCCGGGTTCGTTCCGTGCAGAACGTGAGCGCCGAGTTGGCGGTCGGCTTGTCAAGCGCGGCGAAGTCGGACGTCGCGCCGGGGTCCAGTTCGTTTCGAAAGCGTCGCGGCGAGCGAAATGCAGCGACTTGCGGGCCAGTGGTCGAGGAAGATCACGGTGCAGCAGCAGTGGCGATGCTCGTCGACGACGAAAGCGCGCGAGCGAGGAGCTGAGAGACGGAGGCGAGACGCGGTGGAAAACGTCGCTTGCCACGTGATGTGGTCCACTCGAGCCCTCGCGCGCGTTTCTGCTGCGAAAAGCGCTTTCCCATCGTCGTTGCTTTCCGAGTGCCGCCAGCGCTGCGCGTGCCGCCATGGACACGACGGCACGACGTCGTCCTCCGCGACGACGCTCCCGCACCGTCGCACGACAAGAACTCAAGACTCGACTCGCGGCATTCCCACCCGCACACCCACCGCTGCGCACCCGGACCGGTCTCTGCTCGCGGAGCACCGAGCACGCGCTCGCTCGTCGGCTCGCGGCTCGTTTCGCACCCAGCCCTCGTTGTTGACGTCGGCGGCCGCCTTGTTCCCGTCGCGCGCACCCGAGTCGTCTCTGGACCACGCTCTCGCCCGTCCAACGCGCCTGCCCACCGTCTGCCCGACCCCCGCGACCCCGCGGACAACTGGCCATCCGACCAACCGATCATCTGACCGACCAAGGAACCGGATTCACGGCGACGCGGCCGTGCACTCGCGCCAGAGCCGCTCGCGCTCCACCGGCATCGCTGCCCACAAGTCGCAAGCGAGTCGAGTTTCGCGGCGCAGAGCGGGTCTCGAGGTGCCCGCGCGTCCTGCTCGCCAGCGCCACTTGCTCGCGCCGGCCGATCAACGCTGCCCTCGATGCGACGTGCTGCGACGCGCGCACGCCGAGCGTTGTTGTTGACGGCGCGCACGGCGACACGCGCGTGTTGGGCACGCGTCTCGTGACTCTGCGACTCTTTCCTGCCCGCACCCATCTCCACCTACTTCTGAAACCACCGCCAACTCCATTTGACCCACTCGAACCATGACCGCTACCAGCGCGACGACGCACCCGGTTCCGGGCACGCTCGCCGACCTCGGACCCGCTGGCGCGCATCAGCCGCCGCATCAGTGCGCGCAGCCCGACCTGCAGCTCGGATCGCTCGACCGCGCTCTCGACTTTCTGCGCAAGTGCAAGGCCCGTGTCGCGTCGCCGAGCGACGTGGCCGCGACTGCCAAGCCTGCCGTGCCCGTGGTCGCCGTGGCCCCGCAGCCTGTCGCTGTCGGCGGCGCACACGAATGCGATCGCGTCGCGACGCCAAAACCCGCGACGCCACGGTCTGCCACGCCGCGGACGGACGCACTGCGCGCTGCGCTCGCTCTGTCGGTCCCGCGGCTCGCGTGCACGCCGCCGTCCGACCCGGCCATTCTCGACGTCGTTGGACCTGCGGTCGCGCCGGCTGCGGCCGATCCTGCTCCAGCTCGTGCTCCAGCGCCAGTTCAAGCTCCAATTCCAGTTCCAGTCCAAGTTTCCATTCCCGCTCATGTCTCAGGCTCTGCTGCTGCCCCTCGCACTCGCCACCCCAAGCTCATCCCGGCCGACCGTGTTCCGACTGGCGCCGTCGTGAAACCCGTTCCGGCCCTGGTGCCTGCCGCGGCCGCGGCAGCGGCCAAGACCACGCCCCCTCGCGCGCCGCGCACGCGTCGCCGGTCTCACCCAGCCGATTCGGCCGTTGCCGCGGCGCCCACCCCTGTACATTCCTCCCGGCACGCGGCGCCCAAGCCCGCGGCCCTCCACATTGCTCCCTCGACCACCGTCCACTCGGACTCGGCCTCGACCTCGGCCGCGCACCACCGCACGCCGCGGTCGGCCACGTCGGCGCGGCACCACCGCGGGTCGGCGACCGACAAGTCGTCGCGCCATGGCGTCCCGGCGGCGCTCGCGTCACCGACGTCCCCGACCTTCACGCCCACCAAGTGGACGCCCGCACACCCGCAGACGGTGCACATCTTTGTCGATAACTCCAACATTTTGCACGGCGCGCAGAACCTGGCCAACCAGCTGCCCAAGCAGCAACGGCGCGCGCTTGTCCCGCCGGGCGCGACGCTCGGGCTCTCGTACGCGCGGCTCGCCAAGGTGATCACGGCCATGCTCGACACGGTCGTGGCCGGGCACGTGCACCACGCGACGTGTCCCGCCGCATGCCTGCCCGCCAACGCCAGCACGACCCCGTCAACGTCGACGCGGTCGATGCTGCGCCGCGCCGCGATGCCGCGGTCGATTGACGACGTCATGGCGCTGCGCGCGCAAATCCCCAAGTGCACGTGCGGCGTCGGCGGGATGCCCGCGCACTACTACCAGATTGTGAAAAAGGTATTGGTCGCGTCGCGCCCGCTCGTGCAGGACTTGCGCGACGCGCAGGCGCTCGCGTTCGAGACGCTCGTGCTGGACCGCGTCTACCACAAGAGCCGCGGGAATGCGGCACGGTCGCCGTCGTCGTCGGGGTCGTCGTCGGCGGGTGCCGCGTCCGACGACTGGTCGGGCATGGAGTCGGATACGTCGACGCGCGCGAGTGATTACAGTGGGATGAAGGGCCGCCCGGCGGTGTCGGCGGCGCCGCAGCCAGCCGCGCAGCCGTCGCTCGACTTGCAGGCGATTTTGAACGCGTTCCGGCTCGCGGCCGCGGCCAAAAAGAACAGCAACAACGACAACAGCAACAACGACAACAGCAACAACGACAACAGCAACAACAACAGCAACAACAGCAACAACAGCATCAACAATGGCCACTCGACGGCAGGCCCGTCCTCGGCCCAGCATCACAGTGCCACGACCACCAAGTCCACTTCCACGGCCTCGTCGTCATCGACGAGCCTCGCTGCCACCACCACCAAGCGCGCGTCGTCGACCGCGTCCATGGCGCGCTCCACCACCAAGCGCGTCGCCGCGACCGCGCCCACGACCCCGAGCTCGAGCACCGGCGGCGGCCGCGGCAAGGAAATGTTTGTCGACGAGCTGCTGCACGTGAAAATGGCCGACTCGATGCTCGACTACGACCGCGGGATCCTGATTTTGCTCACGGGCGACGGCGCCGTTGCGCAGTTTACCGACGGGTTTGGCGCGCAGGTCGCACGCGCGCTGCGCCGCGGGTGGACTGTGATTGTCGCGTCGTTTGCCGCGTGCCTGTCGTCGGTTTACGGCAAGCTCGCCAAGCAGGCGGCGGCCGCGGCGGCCATGGCCGAGGCCGAGGGCGTGCACGCGGGCGGGTCGCTGCACTTGTTTGTGCTCGATGCCGACGTGGCCAACTTGGTGTGTGTCGTCTAGAGCCACTGAGGACGCATGCGTGTGGGGCGCGGCGAGCGCGACAGTGGTAAACGTTCTGGGGTTTCTTTTTCGTTGTGTTTTGGCGTTGGGATCAAACAACAATCATGTACAGCTGCACGTGCATCGTCACCCCCCGTCTTTCACATTTTTACATCACCATTGTTTCTCGTTTTCTTCGTTTCTCAATCGTGTTGGCCGATTCCCCTCCATGCCTGTCTGACATCTTTGACCAACCTCATGCGCCGCGGCTCACATTTGCCGCGGCCGTTTGTTTTCATTGTTCTGTTTTGATTTTCGTTCACGGTTCATCCATTCAACGCTGCCGTTCCGACTCTCCATAGTTCGTTTCATAAAAAACACAACGTGCTCTTTCTTCACCACTTGGATGAGACGCACTTGTGAGGTTCGTGTCATGGGAATGCACTGCGCGCTCCTGTCGTCGAACCACGCCGTCGACTGGAACAACGACCCAGGCTCGACTGCCTCCGACCATTGACTGGGTGGAGTCTGCGCTGTTGCCAGAAAAATTGCCTGCAAAATCCGAATCGCGCTGTCGTAGGCCCAGGCCTTCAAGCGACAGAACACAGCATCGTGGACCAGGACGGGGTCAGCGGCGACGGCGGTCCCGACGCGCGCGACCTCGACCAGAAGACGTGCGATCAGATCGCGATCAAAGTGCGGGCCGGGACGCCACCGCGCGGGTTTGAGTCGACGAGGGAGCGAAGTGGCAGGGGCCGATGGCGGGCGCGCGTAGCCGCAAGATCGTCCCAGCCAAGCCCACAGATAGCGAGTAAGCGAGCAGAGAAGATCGGGGAGGTGTCT